CCTGCGGCCCGACCATTTCAGTCTCGCGATTTACTGAAGAACATTACCAAATAAATAATGTGACCGGTAAATCACTTTGCATATTTGGGTAAACTAACTTCCAGTGGGGGGCCTGCGGCCCTACAGATTTGCTCCTTTCACATGACAAAAGACTGTAACGGGGCAACACCGTGACTACACCCCACCCTTCTGCTTTGCTCCGGAAAAAAAAAAGAACCAGCGGAGTTTTTAGATTGTATTGTTTGACAAACAGTCTTAAAACATGACTTTTTGCCATTTTTTTCAATATATCCACCTCTAGGGCCGAAACAGTGAAAGATACGGCAAATCGGAGGGTAGTTCCTGATTCTGAATGTGTTGTTTTGGGGGGGTACTTCCTCTTCCATTTTACGATTGGAAGTCTCCTAGTACGTCTTTATGTGCAACGTGGTCATTTTCGCCGTATTTTCGTCGAAAAAAGCACTCTAGAGCCCAAACGGTGCAAGATAGAGTCGAACGGACAAAATTTTCGCCCATTGGGCTCTACTTTCACGAGTTACCCCTTAGGAGACCATAAAAAAAATATTTTTTTCCTACTTTTTGGACCAACCCCTATTTATTCGTTACCCCCTTTCACCCCCTTAGGGCTGGTTGCCAGGATTTGCACCAGGCGTTTCGTTGTCCAGGAGTGACCCCTAAGATACCCTGAAATTTGTAGACCTCTAGCTCATCTCCTTCCTCTTACACGGACGACGGACAGACGGACAGACGGACACGAGAGCGGTTGCATAAGCCCGCTTTAATGCTTTTTTAAAAGCAGAAGGGCGGGCTAAAAATGGCAATTATTTCCCGCTTCAAATTTGTCGTTGACAATAAAAATTGAATTAAAAATGTGGACTGTAGGCCGACCTGCGACCTGCGCTGCGTGACCCGACTCATGAAGAATTGGGAGAACTACACTTTAAAGAAGAAGAGCAGGAGGATTACGGAAACATAACTAAAGCCAGTTTTAGACAGTCTCCTTAAGACCGTCTCAACCAGAAGGAAAAGTCCACTCTCCCCTCCTAGCTATCCCAGAGCGGGCGACCGGCGTGTGTCATTATTTTGTTTTCAGCGGTTATTGGTCGAGACAGACAACCAAGTCAAAACGAATGCCGTTTTGTTACGTTCCTGGCTGGTCTCCTCCTGAGATCCTCTGTGCACTTCTTCTCTAGAGCGAGGTTCTCCATAGATGGCTTAAGTTCTGCTTGGCCATCCGCCCTCCTGCTTTGTGCACAAAAGTTACCGTATACCACCGGATGTATCAAAGCGGACGCTGCAGTGTTGCGGGTTTGCCGC